TTTTTTTTGGGTCTGTTTAATGATTTAATTTTGCGGTATGTTGTTATGTGACAGTTCCATTCAAGATGTTGAATTCATTATGGAATTTGATGCCTAAAACTAAAAGGTCCGGTGATGGTGATCCTACTTTGTTAGGCGTTGTTCATGATGATTATCTAAAGTCGAAAAACCTTTCTTCGACATTGCACAAGCTGTATCTATGGGAGACAAAACTGTACATAGAGGTTAAGGTACTACACTGTTAATTCCCTGCAATAAACTCGCTTCTTTCCGTTATTTCATTTTTGCTTGACACAACAGTATTTGCTATATAGGTTTTGAACTGCTTGATAATGCACGTCGTCCTGTTGTGTTTCCCTCTGATTCAAGGACTAAATGCCATGTTCTTATTATCCTGCAGATAAAAAAAAAGGTTACTTGCATTGAATTCCTCATCCGTATTTTCGTATGGGCCATGATAGAGTTATGACCCGTCTGATTAATCCACACAAAACTGCTTATTGGTGCATTAGCCGTGCTTTCTGCATGTTCATTGCTGTATGTTTCACTTGTGACAGAAACTAGTTGAATTTGATTTGAAACTCGTTCTCCATCTAAGAATGTGTTGTTTCGAATTCAGTTTTGGAGTGCAAATGAGGATTTTTATGACTTTTTTTACGTGTTTGTAACTAAGATAGACGAAGTTAGCAGTTTTTCTTTATAGGTCTTTTTTTTTCTATATAATTCTCAAGTGTTCTTTTTGTGATCCTTTTATTTCCAGGCCGAAGAGAAAATGAGAGTCCTCCACGAACGTAAATCGAGAAAAATGAACTGTATAGATCACTATGGTGCCGAGTCTCACAAAATCGAGGCAGCAAAAGCTCTGCTCAGAAGTCTCTCCACAAATATCAAAATGGCAATTCAAGTAGTTGATAAAATCTCGGTTAAGATAAATACATTGAGGGACGAGGAATTATGGCCTCAGCTTAACAATCTATTTCAAGGGTATGTGAATCCCGATAGAATGGCCGTTATTTTCGACTTTTTTCTACAGCATTTTGTTAATATCTTATCCTAGGTTGACCAAGATGTGGAAGTCAATGCTCGAGTGCCACCGTAAGCAGTGTCGAGCAATTGGGGAAGCCAAACAATTAGACAGTACCATTGCACTCTGCAAGAACTCGAGTGAACTAGAACATAACCTAGTTTGTTGGACACTCGAGTTTTCCCGTTGGGTAGAGGCGCAAAAGGGTGTAGCCCGATCATTGAACAGCTGGCTCACAAAATGTCTTCTTTATGGTCCCGACCAAATCCCGGACGCCCCTCGAGTCTTTATTATTTCTCATCATTGGTCAAAAATGCTCGACCGAATTTCGGAGAAGGAAGCACTCGACTCCATGTGTGGGAAAATTAAGATACTCAAAAAGGAAGATCAGGAAATACAGAAAGAGATGATAAAGTCGTTGAGTTTGCAGAATGTACTCGAGTCAATGGAGGATTTTAGTGGAAGCTCATTAAGAGTTTATGAGGAGCTGTTGGAACGGATGAATGTGCTCGAGTTTGCATCATGAGAAAGTTTTTTCCAATAGTCGCAAAGTTCTCGATTTTTTGGAAAGTGAAATGGCTAAAGTTTTGTACATACTGGTTTAGATGAAGGACAAGGAGAATGTGCTTCTAACGATGGAGAGATAGATATATACAGGTTCGTTCCTCTCTTTGATCTATGTGCTCGCGAGTATTGAGTTTTGTGTCTCGTTCATTTTTTCGCGTATCAACAATAAAGGCTGGTTATCGGCGCAAGTTATGTAAGTTCTTTAGGAGGAAAAATCAGTCTATGAAAGTAAAACTAGGAACCAATTTATGTTACACTATAGAGAATCATTTTTGTACAAACATTAATATTACACTATATAGATCATCCATTTGCAGTTTAATTCAATACTGGCAATTGGTTCTTAAACCTTAACTCTTGTATTAGGGAGGCATGTGATATTGATTGGGTGAAGGTAGGAGTGTTGTTCGAGTCTCCGAGCTAAGTAGCTCATTTTCGAGCTCTTTGTCATTTAGTAAACGAGCCAAAGGATCAACTCATTTTAATAAATCTAAAACTTAAATAAATTGTTCGCAAAGAAGTTCGGGCGCCCTATTATTAAAGACAGAATTGTTCACGAGCAAGTTCGGATGAACTCGTTTAATAAACAAAGCTCATTTAGCTGTGCAAGATCGGCTTGTTTAAGTACACAAACGAATCAATTCGAGATTTCACGAGTCGAACCAAACTGTGTTCAAATAAATCTGATTCGAACCAAACTGTGTTCAAATAACTCTGTGTTAATCCACCAATTATGAATAAAGTGGCAGCCCACTGGTGTTGAAAAAAAAGGAGCTGCCCACTCCTTTAGACAACACACGGCAGTTGAAAAAAAAAGGAAGCAACATTGAAGCTGCCTTTTGTGGAAAATTGATAGCATTTCTTATCTATAAATACTGAGCAAATTAGATGAACAAAAACACAACAAAAATACAACAACACAAGAAGAAAGAAAAAAGAGAGTGAGCTAGAAAAAGAATTTTAGCTTTTGTGTGTATTTTTGTGTTGTGAGTTGTGAGTGATTCTGAGAGTGTTTTGTAAACACGAGTGTATTTCTTTTTCCCAATAAAATATCTGCAGTAGTCCGGAGACGTAGGCATTATTGGCCGAACTCCGTTATCAATTTGGTGTGTCCAAATTTTAATTTTTTATTTCACTTTTATAGATCCGACTTCATGGAAATTTCAGCGTATTTTTCCCAACACTCTGGATCGTCGAACTCTAATTGAAGGTGGACAAAGGAAGGCATTTTGAGCGGGAGACATTGCGTGGACATAGCCGGACTTTGCATTGATTAGCATTTAGCTAACCGTGCAGTACATTGATTGAATACATAAATAAATGTACGAAAATATTGTGGCAAGATGTGTCATATTTTATTTCATGGGCTCGATGTCAGAGGTGTAAGAAAAATTGATTTTGTACTGATTTCACAGTTCTATTTTTCGTAAATGAGAGACTTAAAAAATTCTCAAAACCATTTTAAGGTAAATGAAAAATTAAATTTAAGTTTTTAAAATATTAATAAAAGTTTTTAAATGTAGTCAATTTAACTACAAAAGGTACATCCCCATTGAATATATCATATGCAATGATAATACTATTGAAAATTTTTAATATTCTAATAAAAATAAAATTTGATGGTCGCAATTCAAAATTATAAATTTCACCTTAGAAGTATATGTGCATTAAAAAAAAATCAATTTTCAAAAATATATATTTTTTATTATATACTATTTTATAAATGAAAAATAAGTTAATAAAAAAGCAATGTATAATAATTTAAATTATAGCACTTGGTAATTATGGAAATATATAATATATCTAAATATTCGAATAAAGACTATGTAACTCATTAAATAGGTTAAAAAAATGAATTACAGAAATAAATATAAATAAAAAATAAAAACATAAAGATAATATATTTAATAAAAAAAAAATGTGTGTTGCATAAGGATTAAAGTTACAAAAATTAAAATTTATTTATCAAGTTTTTTTTAACATTTAATGCACTTCATAATTATAGGGAAAGATAAATATTATGGGATAAACATTTGTCAATTATCAAACAATGTGCAAATTATGAATTGCTGAAAAAATTATAAGACTATGATAAACAATTATATAAGTACATACAAGTAATTTGTAGGCAAATATCATATGATCTTATACATTTATAATATTTTATAATCTTATAAATATTAAAACTTATAAATTAAATAGTCAAAAACTATAAAATAAAATATTAATATAAAAATAGAAATTAACAAGAATAGTAAATAAATAAATGTCATATTATTACTTAATATAATATTGTGGAGATTAGAATTTCATATTATCTTAAATAATTTTATAATATTTAAATAAAAAATATTTTTTTTACCCCTCGTGCATTGCATGGGTATCAACACTAGTAGAGGGAAGAGCTATATAAGGTGATTCTATTTCCTTTTTGAAATCATTTTTTTTGTTTTTTTTTTTTCTTTTTTTTCTGATATAAAGCCTATGTTGTAATTAATTGGTCTGTTGGCATGAAAAACTGCCAATAGAGAAAAGGCAAAAAATTAAACAAAAAAATAAAAAAAATATGTTACTTTTAAAAATTTATGAACATTTTATTCCTAGTATATGTACAATCTAAATACTTTTGAAAATCCTATGCTATGCCTAGTATATTAAAATAAAAGAATGTTACTTTTAAAAATTTATGGACATTTTTATTGCTAGTATATGTACAATCTAAATACTTTTGAAAATCCTATGCTATGCCTAGTATATTAAAATAAAAATATGTTACTTTTAAAATTTTATGAACATTTTATTCCTAGTATATGTACGATCTCAATACTTCTGAAAATCAATCCTATGCTATGCCTAGTATATGTTTGGTTTCAATTATATAATTTAGTGTATAGTCTCTGCTCTTGTTGTTTCATCCCTCCTTATATATTTAATTCAAAACGTGTTGAGCTTAAGTGACAGATTCGCACGTTTCGGATGCTGACATGACAAAAATCTATGCTTCGTGATGTTGTTTTTATATTATTTTTTTTTTTGCTTTGGAGTTAGGTTTGGTATTAAACATAAATAACTTTACATATATTTTCACTAACTTAACACCCATGTTATACATAGGTATCAGTACTAGTAATTTAAAATTTATGAAGATTTAATCCTGGTATATGTGAGGTCTCAAATTAGTATAGACCCCATGTTGGTTCCCATTGTCAATTTTATGACATTTTTATTCCCGCAACCATCGCAAGATATCCGTTTCTATTTGGTATTTTATTCTTCTTAAATTAAGCAATTGTATCAGTTACAAATTATTTCGTCAGAGCATTCAATCAGTGATGGGAGTTGCCTGTTTTTTGCTTGAGCGTTGTATTAGAGGCAGATAAATATATTGATACTAGTATAGTTGCTCGTGCGAATGCGCGGGAGGTAAGATAAAAAAAAAAAAAAAAAAATCATTAAAAGTACAATTGCAATTAATGATTAAACAAAATTGAACATTTTTCTTATATACAATGTCCTATGTCTTGGAGTTGTTTTCATCATTACAAATTAATATTATCAATCCTTTATTCATCTTCTTCAATATCATTATTTGTTACATTTTCTACAAATCTAAGCTCGATTCGAACAATTTTTCCTTAGAATATTATTTCAACGGTGGCGTTTCCATAAAGCTAAGCCAAAAACCAAGACAGCCAGCCAAGCCGTGTCCCGTGTTAGTATGCCATATTCACATTGTCATTGTCAATTTTTTTCTCGTCATCCACATCAGCTCCCTACAAATTTAAAATAATTAACTTCATATACTTCAATCTTAAAAATTTATTATATTAGTTAATTATTAACTAAAATATAAGAATATATAATTCCCAAATTATAAAAATATATGTATAGAAATTTTTTAAAAAAAAGTACATGTAAGTAGTAGAATCTTTCTAGAAAGTTTTTGTTATTATGATCATGATTAAATCAATCTATTAAATTATTATATATATATATATATATATATATGGATAGGTATAGGTTTGTGAAATAAAAATTCGTGAACTAAAAATTGAAGTGGAATAAAAGTTACATTAATAATCCAAATAGCATACTATTTAAGCCAACAGTAAAGCTTGTTCATATGGCGGTACTCAAATAGTTAGGAGAACATACACAAAGCATTGTCAAGGAAAAATAATATACCAACATGTTGTTTTCATATAAAATGACAGACATTTAAGATCAATTGCTCATCATACTATAAAAATGTCATGTCGTTTTTTACCTTGCCAAATTCATGAAATTGTACTCCATCTCAAAATACGATGCTTATAACTAGCAATGACATTAACTTAGTTTTACTTAGCATGCGATGCTTATAACTAGCAATGACATTAACTAAGTTTTACTTGGGCATTCGAAATGCATAAGCCCTTGAAGTACTCTTCATGCCCATTCCTTTGATGGCCCAATAAAGCAAATCAACGAGTCTTTTAACAAATCTATTTTTTATCATATGATATTCTGATACCTAAATACAGAACAATATCCAGCCCAAACAAGCTCGAGTAGCAAAATGACACAACAAAGAACACACATTCTTTTCGTAACCCCTATTCAAAATTCAAGAACATAGCAACACGTAAGAAAAAAGAAAACACCATATAAACCGAAGGGAAAAATGCAGAGTTTTTCTTATTTGTCAAAAACAAAAGAAAGAACGGGGGAATAGAAAATAAATTTACGTTGCTGACCCTTCCAAACTTGATAAAGCCTCTTGTTGTTAGCTGGTCGACGATGCACTTCGAGGGTGGAGCAACAAATTCTTGATTTTTCATGAAATGCGAAATTTCTCCTTATCAGAAGTAGAGAATGTAGTTATCGACGTTGGATGGAGAGATGGTTTAAATGAGAAATTAAGAGCTAAACTTACGGTAATGGGTTCAAGTTCATCAGGTGTCTCTCAATTGGATTTGCATAGAGTTTGGACTCAAAGTTGCGGAAAGATGTTTAAAAGGGACCAACAATGTTGCGATTGCTAGTATGTTCTTATATAACACACTGGATTAAATTCAACAAAGACTGAATAGGAACATGTTACCGGTTGGGTCTAGAAATGGACAACCACGAAAGTCAAATGAGTTGGGGTTTTAAAAGAAACTTATTTTTAAGTAATTTAGTTAAAAAAATTGCATCCTCCAAATGGATTATATTTTGTCACATAATAACTAGATCAGACAAATATTGTCATGATGTAATGTAAAACTAAACTATTGAATGAAAAAGTTCAGATATTTAATTATTAATAATTAAATATTACTCACCTTGATATTAATCATATAATGGTCAGGTCAAGATTCGTTAAACTTTGTGTTGTTATGTGATTCTTAACAACGATGTAATTTATGATTAAGTGAGTTAATTCGG